ACGCCCTCACCAACACACCAGGAACCAGTATTTTGCATCCTCAATCCAATCAAGTACTCTAATATAACCATCCAACCAGGCCAAGGAGGAAAAGACTTCATGAAAATGCAGAGACCTTCCAAATCCCATAAACATCATCTCATGAAAGGAGGAGAGAGATTGAAGAAGAAAGACCGGGAAATAAGCCAGAGAAGTAAACTGGGTGCATGAAGCCCTGTTTGTTAAAACTAAGGCAAGCTGGCCTGCATGGTTCCCCCTGTATAGTGCTATTGGTTTTTAAATGTAGCGCCAAGTAAGGGAATAGTGGAAGATGAAAGTTGAAAATCCAGGAAATGTACATTGGGGTTCAGAAGATTTTTTTTTCTGTTGAGCAAAGTTAGACTAGATTTAGAAACTAGTGTCACTGTTGACCTGAAGAGAACAGTTTGTGGTTATGAGACTGGAGTGAAACAGACTGTATCAAGGGTGAAGAGTGAATAAAAATATGGAGGTAAAGACACGTGGTTGTCCAATCCAGAAATGTTGATTTATGAAAATATTAAGGTTGGTAGTCAATGAAATATTCAAATTAGGTATGAACTACAGGGTTACTATAAGACAAATGAAGGCTACCATCCAATACACCAATAGTTGAATTCCTGTCATTATTAACTTAAATCATTTTTCTAACTGCAAATGAGAAGGAGGGATCGCGATCGAAATAATAAGAGTCAGAATGCAGAGTTTATGGACCGCCTCCGAAGAAGATGCAAAAATGTCTCTCTTAATGTATGCCACTTTTATTTCAAGACCATTATAAAAAAGGTGATAAAAATGTTCTTCCAAATCAAGTATCTTTTTAATGAACAGGCCTAATCCTTTATTACCAGAATTTATGATGCCATATAGATTAAATAAGTTTCAATGAAGTTCTGTCTCATAGTGGACCTAATTGAGAGAACTCAAAAGTAGATTTAAATAGTCACAGGAATAACAAAACAAGTCCATAGAATCTAATTGTTGAAGTAGACAACTCATTTCATGCAAAATTTGACATTATAAAAGATACTGCCTGTTAGAATTTTCTGTTGCTCTTTATACATTGTAAAAAATGTTATTAACAACGATTCCCACTTTCCAAATATTTATGCAAAGCCAGCCTACCTGTGCCGCAGTTCTATGTTCCACCTTCAATACAAAATCTAATCTTTTTTCCAAGTATAAGACATACACCATACATAAAGCCATTGATTTATACAGATTATCATGTTCCAACATGATTTCTTTTTTGAATAAGCCAGAAACCATTTACAGTTTTTTTTGTCTCTTAAGACTAAAGGAAAACTTAGACACTTGTAAATCAGTGCATGCACAGTCCTTCCAGATTTTTACTGTGTTTTTCATTTTTATTGTTTTGACCTTGATTGGCAGGATTTTATTGGGCAGCTCACCTTCGAGCCTTTCTAACGCATTTAACTCTGTTGAGTTTCTATAGTACAGTTGCTTTTTTTTCTTCATATTTTGATTTACTGTCGAATTAGATTATAGAATTACAGTCACAAGCTCAGTTGCCTTAAAACAGGTTTTGAGAATGAACATAAAAGATATTAGTAAACATACAGCTCAGCTAGTGGAACCAGCAGTCTAGGCCTTGACAAAACAGCAGCTGTCTTGCATGTTGCAGGTGCTAGTCAATGTTTAATTAACAAAAGAAATGGAAGATTCTCGGATAGCAATAAAGAACAAAAATCATAGGTAGGTAGTTTGGTGGGGGAAGAAAAGTCGATGAGGGATTGTACCGTAAATATTGGCTAACATGACCTGAATAATTTCTGTATGCCAGGCACTGTGCTCTGGGCTCTATATGCACCACCTTGTTTAACTTCCAGTAACTTAACAGCTGAAGAACCTGAGGCTTAAGAGAAATGAGGTCAGCGACCAAAGACAATGCAGCTGGTAGAGATGGGATTTGAGTCCTGCAAGATTAAGTCTGACCAAAGAGTCCTCTGTTCCTTCTGTGATTTGCTAGAGCCTCTACCCTTCACCATCCGTTTTCCCTTTTTGCAGCTGGCAGGGAAACTGTCTTCCTCTTCTCCAAGATGTACAGAACCAAAGTGGGCTTGAAGGACCGCCAGCAGCTCTACAAGCTGATCATTAGCCAGCTGCTATATGACGGCTACATCAGCATCGCCAATGGCCTCATCAATGAAATCAAGCCTCAGTCTGTCTGTGCACCCTCGGAGCAGCTCCTGCATCTCATCAAACTAGGTAGATTGTGAACACAATTCCATATATCCCATGGCAAGGTTTTAGATGTTTGCATATGGCAGAATTTTTCAAGATTATTCTTGTTTCGTTTTAGTGCCTAGTACGTGCCAGGTACTTCAATAAGTAAGTAGTTCAGCGTGAGTTCAGGAAGCAGCTCAGTAAGTAAGGGGTAAGCAAAGTTCAGATTATGAAGACCTTAAGCTGGTTCTGGCCTGAGGGTCTTGGTACACATTATCTGGAACACTCTGTCATATTACTGACTTCCTTCAGACTTTACATCAAATGTCCTCTAAGTTCTCTTAACCCCTCCTAAAATAATCCAACCCTTTCCTGCATTTTCCTGGTTACCCTGCCATAGTGATCCCGTTTGTTTTATAACAGTCATTTTGAAATTTCCTTTATCATTTGGATTGTTTCCCATATGATCCTTACCTCCCCACTTCCCACTTACTGCCCCCTTGTCAAAAAAGACTACAAGTTCAGTAAAGATCAGGACCTTATATTATTCAGCAGTATATCCTGGAGCCCACCTGGCTAATAATAGAAAGCACTCAATAAAATCTTGAATTACCAAACAGGTTAATACCCTTTGGCGTGGCAGTGCCAATTGTGAGCATTTCTCCTGGGGAGATAAAATGGACAAACTGCATTGCCCAACAACGTGGAATTCGCTGTAAATTTTTCAATATCCATAAAATTGAATACTACAACATAATTACATAGATGAATATTAGCCAAGACACACTTCTGCTCTGCTTGATTAAATGAACGAGTGAGTCACAACGTATTACACAGCATTTCTCTATTACTGTTTTGAAAGATAAAACAGCTGTGCATGGGGAAGGATTCCTAAGAATTTATACCAATACGTTAACAGTTATTATCTCTGGGTGGTAAAATTCAAGGTCATTTTTATTTTCTTGTTGATCCATAGTGTTAATTTTTCCTCTGCTAATCAACATATTATTTGATTTGTCAAGTTATTTATACGTTTTAAATGCATATTCTTGATAAACCTTTTTTTTTAAATATCAGCTTTCTTTCAAAAACATTTCAGTAGCATTCATGTTAACAATGGAGCTAACTTAATGAGCATCAGAGCTGCTGATACCTCTCAACCCTAAAAATATTAAAATTTGGAATGAAAAAATGGATAATTTAACTACAGAACTGCTATTTTTTGAGTTTCTGTAGTTGTAGATAAAGTAGTAAACTCTGGAGGCAAGAACCTGGGAAAATGACTTTGTCTGTTGGAGCCTAACTTCCAGCAAGCCCTGTGGCCTCACAGCGTGGTGAACTTTGAATAGCATGGGCAAAATACACAGTTTTGTAAAGCATTAGGTGTCACGCAACTCCAAGAAATAGGAAGTTGACGCTGGTGAGCATCTTTCCAGTTTGGATCTAGAATTTTATCTTGGCCTTTAAAAAAAAAAAACACTTGTTTTGTTACGCCTTTAATTTTGATTTCTTTCAGGAATGGAAAATGATGACACCGCAGTTCAGTATGCAATTGGTCGTTCAGATACTGTTGCCCCTGGCACAGGCATTGACCTGGAATTTGATGCAGATGTTCAGACTATGTCCCCAGAGGCTTCTGAGTATGAAACATGCTATGTCACATCACATAAAGGACCATGCCGTGTAGCTACCTATAGTAGAGATGGACAGTTAATAGCTACTGGGTCTGCTGATGCTTCAATAAAGATACTTGACACAGAAAGGATGTTGGCCAAAAGTGCCATGCCAATAGAGGTAAAAATTCCAGTCACATACTTACTGATTGCCTTCTGTTTTTCATTTTTGGAAAAATGAGAGTATGGTTCAAACCAGCTTTAGTTTGCTACAGTTGTGGATTGTGTACTTGGATTCAGACACATTCTGTACCTTGAGCATCTGTTCTTGTTGGTCTAGGTCATGATGAATGAGACCGCACAACAAAATATGGAAAACCACCCAGTGATTCGAACTCTTTATGACCATGTGGATGAAGTCACGTGCCTCGCTTTCCACCCCACAGAACAGATCCTGGCTTCTGGTTCAAGGGACTATACTCTTAAATTATTTGATTATTCCAAACCATCAGCAAAAAGAGCCTTCAAATACATTCAGGTAGGAATCTTTGGAAAGGAGCTTTACATTTTTTCTTAAATACAGTGAGCTCTTGTACAACTGTTCTCGTTGTAAAAGTAGTCTCGGTGATCGTCCTGTGAGACAAGTACAGACCAGGATGCATGCCGGATGGCAGATGGATCAGATTTTGTTGGCACATAGGCCACATGCTGTCATGTACCTGCTCCCTCTGGCTGGTCAGAGTTTATAATCTGACCCTTTGGAGGGTTTGGAATCCGTATCACTTTTTAAAGGTTGCAGATCCCTGTTATAGACAAAACATGACCAGCTTCACTAATGTATAACTTAGAGGAATAAAAAAAAAAATTCAGTTGAAAGTATTAAGTGTTTCCTGGCAAGGTGACATTTGTTACCCTATTTTGAATATGCATTGCAGAAATACTAATGTTTTAGTTGTGGCTTCTGTCTGTTTGATAATTAAAGTAGGCTGGTTGCAGTGGCTCATGTCTGTAATCCCAGCACTTTGAGAAGCCAAAGTGGGAGGATCACTTGAGCCCAGAAGTGTAAGATCAGCCTGAGCAATGCAGTGAGACCTCATCTCTTCGAAAAAATTATTTTAATCAGCTGGGCATGGTGGCACACGCCTGTGGTCCCAGCTACTCAGGAGGTGGAGGCAAGGATGATCATTTGAGCCCAGAAGGTTGAGCATGCAGTGAGCCGTGACCGTGCCACTGCGCGGTCTGCCTGGGCGACAGAGCAAGACCGTGTCTGCAAAAGATAATAATAATAGTAACTTAAATAATAACAAAAAATAATAAAAACTTAATTTTTTACTCAATATTTGCAGCCCTAGAGCAAATGAAAGAAGCTTTTAGGTACAAGTTGTACTTCAGTAACCATGCATGAATGTGTCATTGTCTGATAATACTCCATCCTTAGTGGAGTGTTACTCGGTGTTCATTTGTAAATAATGAAGCTCACTTCTATAGTTTTTGGAATAATGTAACCAGCAAATATTTAGTTTTGGGAATCTATTCAAAAAACACTTTCATGTATTCCAAAAAGCACTTTTTTTCTTCTGATACCTGTGTAATATCTAATAATTGTTTTATGGATTCTTTTCATCAGCCAGATATTTTCCACATTTCCTCTGGATTTAATTGTTCACCAGTTGATCACTTGTGTTAATGTCTCTGTCCTAACAGGAAGCTGAAATGTTACGCTCCATCTCTTTTCATCCTTCTGGAGACTTTATACTTGTCGGAACTCAGCATCCTACTCTTCGCCTTTATGATATCAACACCTTTCAATGTTTTGTGTCTTGCAATCCTCAAGATCAACACACCGATGCTATATGTTCCGTTAATTACAATTCTAGTGCCAATATGTACGTAACTGGAAGCAAGGACGGCTGCATCAAATTGTGGGATGGTGTTTCAAATCGATGCATCACAACTTTTGAAAAAGCACACGACGGTGCTGAAGTTTGTTCTGCCATTTTTTCCAAAAATTCTAAATACATTCTCTCAAGTGGAAAAGACTCTGTAGCTAAACTTTGGGAAATATCAACAGGACGAACACTGGTCAGATACACGGGTAAGTGAGAAGTTGATGTTACTTAACATTTCTGTAGTGTTCACACTTTCCAGAACTCTCTTTTAGGACCTCACAATACAGCAACACAGTAAGTCTATGCATTGAGCAAGGCAGATGTTATCCCTTTCTTAGATAAGAGGAAACCAAGACTTACCGGTTAAGTCGTTTAGCCAAGGCTGTAGTTCGTAAGTGACAGAGCTGGAAATAGAACTGTGCTTTCTTTGCTCTTCTGAGCACCTCACACTGTGGACTAGGTCTGGATTCCATGCAAGTAACATTTGAGAACCTGGTGATCCATTTGTAGACTGGCCTGCCCTCTTTCCACAGAAAAGTGAAAGCAATCCAGAGAAAAGTTTCCAATAGTAGATCTCAGTATTACTAATATATGCATTCGGGAAAGAATGGCTGAGAGGAAAGATCTTATCCCATTCCTAAGTGAGCAGAGCTAGCCCCCAATGGAAACCACGTGAGTTCTGAATGCAGATGTAAAGTAGGCTAAGCAGACCGAAAAAAATTGCATCCATTGAATTCTCATTAATGTATGTTGGTCTCATTGGTAACTACTCACAGTAGTGCCTGTGGAGTATTTTTATAATGAAATCTATTTAAATTGATCCTATCACTAGTAGGGCCCAAGTCTGGTTATTTGATAGTGAATGTTAAAACACTGTGTCTTCTGTTCCTTGTAGCAGCAAAGACTGTTTGGTAGAAAACCTCCAGAAAATTTCTGATTGTTTTCTCAATTGTGAGATATGTTTGTATCATACACTAAAATTGGCATGAGCATAACAAAGAAAATCACAAGAAAACGGTATTGGAAGAGACTGGACTGTGTTGTTTGCATTGAAGAGTCGGTGACATCTGACCCACTAGGGGGCGGCATAACCTGCCTTAGATTTGTCTCATTGTAACCAAAGTTCGCTTCCCCAGCCATCTCTCTCTGACTTCTGATACAACTAGCAAATCTTAGGAAGAGCCATTTTTATCATAATTCTTGGTGACTTCATTGAAACACATGTATAAAGTTGTTCTGAAAAGTATTTATTATAAAGAACTGCTTTATAATAGTTGTGTTTGTTGCAAAAAGAAAATACAAAAGTGATCAGAGTAAATGTGAAAGTACTCCCCCTATAGAAGTTGTAACTATTTTAAGGAGTGTGCTATATCTGGACAGATACACACCAGCCTACTGACAAGAGCTTAAATATTTACTCTAGGAATGTTTTGGATGTTTTATAGTAGTATGAGGTTGATTGGCTTGTTTTAGTGGGGAATAGCAGTGTGGTTTTTCAAAAATGTGATTATGCTGAATTTATGTGCAAATTCCCTTTTTCCTTTTTTCTCATTTCACAGATCAAGCCCCTGTCATGTCAGCATGTTAAGATTTCTGTTCCTAGTTTTAATAATTAGTTAGAATTTGGGCTGGGCACAGTGGCTCACGCCTGTAATCCCAGCACTTTGGGAGGCCGAGGCAGGCAGATCACAAGGTCAGGAGTTCGAGACCAGCCTGGCCAATATGGTGAAACCCCGTGTCTACGAAAAATACAAAAATTAGCTGGGCATGGTGGCGGGCGCCTGTAGTCCCAGCTACTCGGGAGGCTGAGGCAGGAGAACAGCTTGAACCTGGGAGGTGGAGGTTGCAGTGAGCCAAGATCACACCACTGCACTCCAGCCTGGGCAACAGAGCGAGACTCCATCTCAAAAATAATAATAATAATAATAATTAGTTAGAATTCAAAGGGTTTCTGAAATGATGAAAAGGGAAAAACTATCAAGAAAACTTTAGAAATTGGGTTGCAAAAAATTAAAAGCAATATAAATAATTAAAATACAGGACTGGGGGAAAGCAGTTATAGCATATATACAGATGTTAGACAGTGAGTTCATTTCTTAATCTGTAACGAGAACTCAAATAGGAAAAAGATGAGTCCAAGCTTGAGAGAAAAGGAGCCAAAGGACAGGGGACTGCAGAAGAGAAAATGGTCAGGAAATATAAGAAAAGGTGGCCAGCCTCGCTGCAGACCCAATGAATGAATATGGGGACCTGGTTTTGTTCATCAGATTTTAGGAGTCTTAAAGATTTATATTAATCTACTATTGATAGAGATTTGAGGATATCATGTTTGGTTGGTCAGAGAGTCAGCTGGTAAAATATTTCAGCACAGTTTGGTATCATATCAAAATTTTAAATACATGCTTTTTGACCCACTATATCTACTCTTAGAAATTCAACCTAAAGAGGTAATTGGACAAACAGGCACATGCCCATAAAAGACTGTGTGTCCCAACATCATTTGGAGTGGCTGAAAGTTAGAAACAGCATAGATGTCCAATAAGAAGCATTAAGGAAATCTGTTACGCATCCGTGGACAACGTACACCTTTAAAAATAAGTATGCATGCTAACATTGGCTGAGCACTCACACTCCAGAGCCTCCCGTGCATTCTCTTATTCTTATCCTCAGCCTTATGGGGTAGGTTCTGTAACTACCCCGTGGAACAGATGAGAAAATTAAGGCTGAGGGATGTTAAGTAATTTGCCCAGGGTCACATCACTAGTAAGTGTTCAACCTACATCTGACCACAGAGTTTGTGTTTTTATCCACTAAGCTGTATTCTGTCTTTACAGATCTGCACTACATATGCTTGAATATTAATAGTATATGACAAATGCTCTGACTTAAGTTACAAATGAAACTGGGGGTTGTGGCTCACACCTGTAATCCCAGCACTTTGGGAGCCCGAGGTGGGCAGATCATCTGAGGTCAGGAGTTTGAGACCAGCCTGGCCAACATGGCGAAACCCCGTGTCTACTAAAAATACAAACATTAGTTTTGTGTGGTGGCGCATGCCTATAATCCCAGGTACTCAAGAGGCTGAGGCAGGAGATCTCTTGAACTCGGGAGGCAGAGGTTGCAGTGAGCCGAGATCACACCATTGTACTCCAGCCTGGGCAACAGAGTGAGACTCTTATCTCAAAAAAAAAAAAGAAAAGAAAATTTACAAGTGAGCACCTAACTCTTAGATATTTCGAAAGGGTATTCACCAAAGTATTGACTGTTTCCTCGGATGGGTGCAATTATTAAGCAGTTTTTATTTTCCTTTTTATACTTTATTTGGTAGTTTAAACATTAAAATATGTAATTTATAGTCATAAAAAGGCTTCCTTTTGGAAAGCAGATATTCATATACTTTGTCTCAGTAATTCTGTTTCTAGGAATTTACTCCTAAGGAAATAAAGCTTTCTGTACAAAGGATATTCATTACAACATTACTTATAATTGATATAAACTAAATGTCAGGAAGTAAAAGAATTGTTAAATAGGCCAGGTGCAGTGGCTCACACCTGTAATCCCAGCACTTTGGGAGGCTGAGGCATGTGGATCACGAGGTCAAGAGATCAAGACCATCCTGGCCAACTTGGTGAAACCCTGTCTCTACTAAAAATACAAAAATTGGCTTGGTGTGGTGGCACGCACCTGTAGTCCCAGCTACTTGGGAGGCTGAGGTGGGAGAATCGCTTGAACCCAGGAGGCGGAGGTTGCAGTGAGCCGAGATCACACCACTGCACTCCAGCCTGGCGACAGAGCGACTCTGCCTAAAAACACACACACACACACACACACACACACACAAAAGAATTGTTAAATAAGTAATGGGGCTTCTAAACATGAGGCACTTTGCATCTAGTTAAAAAAAACATGGAAAAATGTACTAAACATAAAGTTGGTTTAAAACTATAATAGAAAAATATAGTGGCATCAATTTTATATGTATTTTTAAGCCTTGAAGTACATTAGGACAGTAACAGTATTGCTTCAGGTAATGTGGTGGTCTCTCTCTCTCTCTCTCTCTTTTTTTTTTTTCTCTGATACAGTCTTGCTCTTGCTCTGTTGTCTGTTGCCCAGGCTGGTCTTAAACTCCTGGGCTTAAGCAGCCCTCCTTCCGCAGCCTCCCAGAGTACTGGGATTATAGACGTGAGCCACTGTGCCTGGTTTGATTTTCTTTTTTGTACTTTTTTAGAGTTTCTGAAAGTGTACAAGGTGTATCACTTCGACAGGTTTAAAATGCTTTTACATTGAATGCTAGAATGTTCTGACAGTCTAAGATGTGGACTTACAAAGCTATCCCTCTTGGTCTCTGTGGCAGGCGCGGGTTTAAGTGGACGCCAGGTGCACCGAACGCAGGCTGTGTTTAACCACACTGAGGACTATGTGTTGCTGCCCGACGAGAGGACGATCAGTCTTTGCTGCTGGGACTCGAGAACAGCTGAGCGGAGAAACCTGCTCTCACTGGGGCACAACAACATTGTACGCTGCATAGTGCACTCCCCCACCAACCCCGGCTTCATGACGTGCAGCGATGACTTCAGAGCGCGGTTTTGGTACCGGAGATCGACCACCGATTGAGCCGCCCTCTCCGTAGGGTTCTTTCTCGAGGACTCTGCCCTCCCCCCACGTCCTGTCTCAGCTGCAGTCGTAAGTCAGTGCACCATCCTTGGCAGTTTTGCTGCCACCTCTGTCCACATCTTTCTTGGATTTGTATAAAAGAATCTTTTTTTACCTTGATGTACAATCATGGTGGAAAAAGCTGGAAACACAGATCTGTGCAGTTCTACATTCACTGATTATTGCAGTGTGATTTTCATCAGTTTTGTAAATACAGGACTTGCCGTTTCTTTTGATCTCTTGATTGAAGAAGGATAGGGTATTAAAGTGCTTTTGTCATGAGGAATTTTCATTTGGTTCTTTTGTCAACTTTCTTGCTTGTCCTGCTAAAAACCCTCTGTGTATTTCCATTCCAGATATATTTGAACAGATAAGTAGGCGTGCAGCTCTGAGACTCCAGAGTTTTATGCCATATCAAAAGCATTTTCAAGAATCCCTCAATTCTATCCTGAAATGATGTTATTCTGATAATAAAGCTCAGATCTGCAACTTTAGTGTTACATATTTTTCACTTCAATAAAATTAATGGCCAGTTTTTCCTGACAATTTATAGGAACAGTATCTTTCAACATACTCGCCACATTATGCTGAAATATCTGCAATACTTGTCTTTAGTAACTGTATTTCTGTTAAGATTATGATTTGATGAGAAACAATTGAAAATATATCCGATCTAATCAAATTAGGTCAGCTTCCTATTGCTCTCAGGTGTTGCCTATCTTCACGAATGATTAGTATCGATTGACTTCATTCTTAGGTAGTTTTAAATCTTCATTTCTCTTCAGCATGAACTAACTTCTCATCATGGGGGCACATAGTAACTGCATTCTCAGAAGATTTATGCAGTTAACCAACTGATACAAGTTTTCTTTTTCTTGAATTTTTTTTTTTTTTAAATTGAGACGGAGTTTTGCTCTGTCGCCTAGGTTGGAGTGCCGTGTCGTGATCTGAGCTCACTGCAAGCTCTGCCTCCCGGTTTCACACCATTCTCCTGCCTCAGCCTCCCGAGTAGCTGGGACTACTGGTGCCCACCACCACGCCCAGCTAATTTTTTTATTTTTATTTTTAGTAGAACCGGGGTTTTACCATGTTAGCCAGGATGGTCTCGATCTCCTGACCTCGTGATCCACCCACCTCAGCCTCCGAAAGTGCTGGGATTATACATGTGAGCCACTGCACCTGGCCTTCTTGGCCTTCTTGAAACTTTTTAGAATGTGACAGTACTTCTCTGGATTCAGCACTAGCAGAGTCAGAGAACTCTGAACTCCCCTCGTACAAACATAAACTTTGCTTTATATTTATCCCAAAAAACAAATACCTTGTGATCTGCATAGGAGTACCTAGAAATATAATCTGGGATCATTTGATAAAAATAGTAAATAGATTGAAGTAAAAGCAATTGCTTTGTATTATAGGAAGTTTTGTTTTGTTTTGTTTCTGAGACGGAGTTTTGCTCTTGTTGCCCAGGCTGTCATGCAGTGGCACGATCTCGGCTCACCGCAACCGCCGCCACCTGGGTTCAAGCGATTCTCCTGCCTCAGTCTCCTGAGTAGCTGGGATTACAGGCATGTGCCACCATGCCCGGCTAATTTTGTATTTTTTTTTTAGTAGAGACGGTTTCTCCATGTTGGTCAGGCTGGTCTCGAACTCCCAACCTCAGGTGATCCGCCCACCTCAGCCTCCCAAACTGCTAGGATTACAGGCGTGAGCCACCATGCCTGGCCCCATTATAGGAAGTTATTGAAGTTGTTTGTGTAAAAATTCTGCTTTAGTCATCCTTGAGGATCATTTTAACTCCTTGATCTGTCAAATTGTCTTAAGCATCTTAACATGTTACATCACAGGGTTTTAGCTCAGATTTCCAAAGAGCCATATTTTTTGGTACATAGTGAGTGTCAATTTCCAGTTGTATTTTGCATCCTGATTCTGATATGTGAACTTGGCCATCTGTGGGTGCTACTCTCGTAAGACTAAAAGACGCCTACTAAATAGGAACGAGGATAACCGGTTCTACCAAAAGCATCACCAACCAGACCTCCCCAGTTCTTTCTTCAGACTTTCCTTTTGCTTTCGACCTGTTAAACTGTAAAGCAGAGATTTAACGTTCCCTATTCTTGTGCTTTGACTCACATACTGAAGTGGCCACACGGCACGCCATTGACTCTTTTCAGTTGTTCAGAAATTAAAATAATGCCCATGTTTTACAGGTTTTGGAATAGTCTCAGCAATGGATCTGTAATTTCAGGATCTGTATTTAAAAGATAGTTTTATATGTTTCAGAATTAGCTGGTTTTTTGGTTTGTGGGTGTTTTCTGTGGGTTTGTTTTTTGTGTCTTGTTTGGTTGGTTGGTTTTTGTTTTTTAGGTGTTTTCTGTGGGTTTGTTTTTTGTGTTTTGTTTGTTTGTTTTTGGGTTTTTTTTCGCTTTTCAAAGGTCACTATCTTGTGAGCCTGGTGTAAATGCCAGGAATGTTGTATGGACTTAGCATCTGCATCTCGTTAATTGTACCACACAACACTCTGCCGTTCAAATAATGAATGATATCTCGTCAGGATACGAACTTATACCCTCTGTGTTATTTTTTTTAAAGGTATGTGATTTCTGAAATAAACTTTTTATAGAATGATAAGCTAGCTTATTTTTTTGGAACTTACTTTGAATATTTCCCACATTTGAACATCTGTTCTCAAACAGCAGTTATGACTTTGGTACTGTTCACACTTTCTTTAGTGCTTTGTTCCAGAAGTTAGGTTTTTATAGCTGGATCACCTTTAGCTCTGTATCTTTGCTCCTCTGCTCTCTATACATTTTTCTTTTTTGAAACAGATTCTCACCCTGCCGCCCAGGCTGGAGTGCATGGCGTGATCTCGGTTCACTGCAACCTCCACCCCCCAGGTTTAAGCGATTCTCCTGCCTTAGCCTCCTGAGTAGCTGGGATTACAGGCGCATGCCACCACGCCTGGCTAATTTTTTGTATCTTTAGTAGAGACAGGGTTTCGCCATGTCGGCCAGGCTGGTCTTGAACTCCTGACCTTGTGATCCACCCACCTTGGCCTCCCAAAGTGCTGGGATTACAGGCGTGAGCCACCGTGCCCGGCTGCTGTCTATGAATTTAAAGAACTTGAGTATAATTCAGTTTTTTGGCTTATTCAGAGAATGCTATCTTTGCTTACATTTTGGTTTCCTTTAGGAAGAGCAGTGTGAGACAGTCCAGTCTCAGCTCTGTTGCTGACTTGGTAAGTAGTAGGGCAAGTCATTTTTCTGGGATACAGCTTCCTTTTCTGTGACTAAAGGGCTTCATGAAAATAATCTCCAGCATGCACTTCAACCAGTAAAGCTCTTTGTTTTCCACCTGATGATACAAACAGACTTCAGGGAGGGAGGAAGCCGTTGTTCCTAAGCAGGAGGCGTCTGTTTCCGAAAAGGTGGCAAACCAGATATTTCGAGAGCCCTTTCAAGTCAAACCTGGATAGAACATGTTTTTAATCTCTAATAGCTGAGCTAGCAAGAAAGAAGGAATTCCTGAGAGGCAGAACAAAGCACAAATCCAGAGGGTTCGCAGTGCTGGAGCACTTGAGTAGGTCGGTTCCTGTAACCTACTGACGTCTGAGCAGAAGTCAAAGCTCGGAGTCTTCATGGAGTAGGAACTTTGGTCAAGACCCAGAAAGCCGGGAACCCCAGAGGTGCCCCTTTCAGTAAAAGGATGAACTTGACAAAAACTTGCCTCAGAGAAAGAGACGAGAAATCTGCCTGCTTGGCGCTGGCTCAGGGGTTTTCGGAGAGAGGGTATCTGGTGTTGGCACAAGGGAGGGTCTCCTGAGAATTCGGTCCACGCACTGTTCCTCATGCGGGTTTGGAACAATTCACGTACCTGTACTGCTCAGAGAACATTGAATGGGGATCTTAAAGCAATCTCCGACCGATGCCGGCCACAGGTATCTGGCAGAGGCCAGCGCAAATTCTCTGTGCAAGAACACATCTTCACCCCAGTCCTCAAATAATTATCCCAGATAAACCTCTGAGGATCACGAACTCACAGGTATGTGAGGAAACAAGCCACCCTGATCAGAATCAGCAAAAATAGCAGAATCAGACTTGCAGGGACCTGGGGAATTACCAGACACAGATTATATTCAGAGAACTAAAACAGTAACTAAAATGGGACCAAGGGGCCGGGCGTGGTGACTCACGCCTGGAATTCCACACTTTGGGAGGCCAAGGCGGTGGGATGGCTTGAGGTCAGGAGTTCGAGACCAGCCTGGGCAATAAGGCAAAACCTCATCTCTACCAAAAATACTAGCTGGGTGTAGTGGTGCACACCTGTAGTCCCAGCTACTCAGGAAGCTGAGGCATGAGAATCGCTTGAGCCAGGGAGATGGAGGTTGCAGTAAGCCAGGATCAAGCCACTGCACTCCAGCCTGGGCAACAAAGTGAGCCTCTGTATCAAAATAAAATGGGACCAAGGATTTAAAAGCTTGCACAAGGCCAGGCGCCGTGGCTCAAACCTGTAATCTCAGCACTTTGGGAGGCTGAGACTGGTGGATCACTTGAGGCCAGGAGTTCAAGACCAGCCTGACCAACATGGAGAAACCCTAACTCTACTAAAAATACAAAAAAAATTAGCCGGGTGTGGTGGTGCATGCCTGTAATCCCAGCTACTCAGGAGGCTGAGGCAGGAGCATCGCTTGAACCCAGGAGGCAGAGGTTGCGGTGAGCCAAGATCGCGCCACTGCACTCCCACCTGAGCAACAGAGCAAGACTCCGTCTCAAAAAAATAAAAATAAAAACTTGCACAAGGGACTGGGCCGGTTTGAATTAAAGAATAAAACTTGTGGAAAACCATCCTACTGGAATGTTTCTCTAGCTTTCATCATGAATTGCTTTGACCTGAACTCTTACCGTTGGCTTTGCTGCTCCCTGACTGGATATTTGACTCCGTGAAGCCTCTTTCACAGGTGTCTTTTGGCCAAGCAACGCCTCGCCACTCTGTCTGCTCCCCAGTGATGACCGCTTGCCTGGGGCATCATTTTCTGTCTGGCTTTTTCTTGCTGTCCCACCAGCATTCAGCCTTTCCATCCAGCTTCCTGTCTCCACTCTGTCCCCAGAGCATTTCCTTTGCATCCTTGTTTTCAGTTCTTGCCCTAATTCCTTTTCCCTCTCAACCTGGGGGTCAAAACTTGGGTGATAAAACTAAATAATCACTAATAACTAGAGTGGCTGCAGATTCCCCAGCCCTCCCAGTATTATCCCTGCACCAGAATATTTGGTGAATTTGTTGGCAATTCATGAAATTCTTTTTTTTTTTTTCTTTAAGACAGTCTCACTCTGTCACCCAGGCTGGAGTGCAGTGGTACGCTCTCCGCTCACTGCAACCTCCACCTCCCGCGTTCAAACGATTCTCGTGCCTCAGCCTCCCAAGTAGCTGGGATTATATGCATGCACCACCAAGTTCTGCTAATTTTGTACTTTTTGTAGAGACGGGGCTTTGCCATGTT